AATGTAGGAATGGTAAGTTTAACAAACAATTGCAAATTTTACCGCTTGAATTGAAAGAAAAGTTCATTTGAATTGCTTCCGTATGTATTTCAGACGGTTTTAGATCTACCTGCTTGGTTTATATCTGTTACGCTTCATGTTGACAAGTCCTTCAAAATGGCGGCCAAACTCGGAGATTGCCAAAAATCAGGTAAGTTCGTGGAGTTATAAAGTTTTCCCAAAGGTCGTGCCGCAAAGTTTTTTTCTGTAGTTACCTTTTCTATGGCGTGTTCTTCCTAGCTATGTTAGTTGGATCAGTTAAGAACGCCTCACTTTTTCAAAAATTTACCTTAAATTTTATTGGTTTTCGCGTGTGTGACTTAAGCGAACCTATAAGGTGTCATTCAAGTCTTCCTGTTTCTTTGATTGAAATGTGATGTTCACGAAAGTCGCCTCGATGGAGAAGATAGAGTGAATATGCACGGCTGTACTATTTATTTTTTGCTGAGTTCCGTAGTTTTTTTTAAATTGTCCTCCAAAGTCGTCTCAAATTAAAGTCTTAAAAAGTGTCACGACAGGCCTTCGCTCGAGTGAAATTTCATTTCCGTAAAACTTTGAAAAATAAAGAGATCCGATCAAACGGATTGTGGTTATATTATAGGCACATGAATGTCTTACAACACACAAGAAATGAGGCAAATCTGTGTCTCAAGCAAAATCGACCGGACCGCTTTTACAGAGACACTCTCTTATGATGCAATTTTAGCAACCGATAGGAAATAACAGGATAGGAAATAAACGCTTCCACTTCAATTTTTCCTGCCTGTGTAAAAGCAGATAGAAGTGAAAACTATATATGCTAACTCTATTCGATCTAGGCTAATAAATAACATGGAAAGTAACAATAATGACACAGAGACACAGACCAACGTTTTGTTATTATCGTTAGACTACAGTAAAAACCCGCGTGTAAGAACCTAGTAATTAGGAACCTTTTCGGCAGAGATTTTGGATTTTAATACCCAAAAATATAACAACCTGTTTACCCAGCAAAACCTGCATGGTTCTTATATGACGAGTCATTCTGGATAATGAAACAATGTTGTAGCAAAATATGTCTGTAACTATAAAATAAATGTTTTTTATACATTTGATACTTCCATAAAACATGTCACAATACAGTTTCCCCACTGTATTTATGGCTCCCAGTCATGTAGTACCCATTCCTTGACAAGGGGGTATGTGTAAATTTCATTTAAATAAGAATTATTTAATGGCATTTCATTAAAGATATTTTAAGAACCTATTGAGAACCTGTTTTGCTTAAGTTGTCAATAGATACCCCAAAACATAAGAACCTATTTTGCCAGACATGATAAAAACTAGGTTCTTACACGTGGGTTTTTACTGTATTGTTAAGGTAACATTGATGATGCAAATCCGAAACGTCGCCACTACATCTGTCTTCAGTTGTATTTAAAAACACTTACAAACTACGAAACAATCACGGTAATCAAATTATTCAAAGGCTCGAAAGTTTTGTCTTGAAATAGCGCATGCCTTCAAAATTTAGGATTTCTGTAATCGCGCAGATAAAAAAAGGGTCTGCCTAGAATCGCAAATGCAAAGAGGAAGTTGAGGGAACTTCATGCGTACCTCTGTTTCTAGAACGTTTCATGTAAAATCTCTCCTGATCTGGAATAAAATCTTCTGGTGTTGCTTCCTTTGTACGATTGCTCAGTTCGCAGACGTTTTTGCCAGCTACCACATTGTAACTCTGACACGTGACTTCTTCCTCACACCGGAAATAACACTCCACAGGCAAACCAACCTGATACACTTTAAACGTGTGACCTCTGAGGTACATTCCACCAATCGATCGTTCCTGCTCAAGACACTGACCAGTAGCGTCAAGTATACCAATCCGGGAAATCAGAAACATGATAGTCAGCCACAGCTTTGGATTCATTTTGAGGTGACTGTGGTTGGCTCTTGCTGCAGATCGACTAAGTACCTATCAACACATTTAGCAATGCTAAGACGAAGTTACATATGAGTTTTCAGTCAAATATATACCTCTAAACACATGACCGTGTTCCGTTGGAGAATACGAGAAATTAATCATTGGCAGCGTAAAGATGTGACACTGCCATACCAAAAAATACAAAAGTAGCGCTAAAACCGAAACGCACAAGAATATTTTGTCATGGAAAGCTTACCCAAAGACACAAGAGAATGAAACTTTCATTCTCTTCCATTACTTTTTAACTTTTTAACTTTTGCAATCCCATTACAAATTGCGACAGGCAACACGAAAAGCTATAATATTGCGACTGCTGCCATACAATGATGGCGGATTATGAAAATATGCTCTATTTAAACCTTTAAATTCAATGATAGTTGTTCATTAAAAATCAGTACAAAACGAAATATTATATATGGCATAAGTAGGTTTTGTTATGGAAAGCTTACCCAAAGACATAAGTGAATGAAACTTTGCTGCTATAAATACCGATGATTAATTATAATGGTTGGGTTAAGAATTCTCCAGTACACGAAGCATGCGATATTACTTGCTTAACTTTCGGAAATAACTTCAACTCTCTTTTCTCACGAGTTATTTGTCAAAGAAACCGAAATGAAAATATAACCTTTGTCCTCAATCTTGAAAGTGAATAAGGTTTCTCGGAAAAAGAGACACAAATAGAGCATATTTTCATAATCCGCCATCATTGTATGGCAGCAGTCGCAATATTATAGCTTTTCGTGTTGCCTGTCGCAATTTGTAATGGGATTGCAAAAGTGTTATCTCGAAAATAAAATTACCGACGAAATCGAACTCTACAGCCGGCCGAAGAGTTTGTTCGAGGAATTTTACCAGAAAGCCTCAAAATCCTAATTAAATCGCCATGGGGAACAAAAGCTATAGCCGTTCCATTGTTCAAAAGCTATATCTGTTCTAACTTCAAAATACATATCTTAATTTACTAACAATTGAGATTTAAAACTGAGCAGAGGTAATTCTGCGTAGATTAAACGTCCTTGGAAGAGAATAACACTTTCCGTTAGTTCAGTGAAGAACAAAAAGTCATCGTGATAGCCATTTGACTCGAGTTTACTTGCCAAACCAATGCTGTTGTTTTTTCAAAAGTGTAGGCGGGCTTCTTTTTTTCTTATGCCCTTTCTATTTGACAGGTGTCTGATTGTGACAGATTCTTATAAAAAGAAATATTCCAAAGTTTGCTTAGAAGTCCTTTAAATAACCCCTATCATTACGTAGATAACAATGTTTCAGTGAAGCCTCTCTTTTTAATTAGCATTACCTCTGTTTTCTCTACCATCTATTCGCCCAAAGAATGTTCCGTTTATGGAGGATCTTCCCGTGACTGCAGCCCTACATTATTAGGGTTCTTTTGAAAAGCATTTCGTGAATTTTTGAGTAAAATTAGAATTATTATTCACCAGCTAAGATCGATCTGTATTGGGAATCTCAAAATAAGGAATGATACTAAACGAATGTGCCATAACGGGGCTTTGTTGTGGGAATTTTGGATTTATCAATTGAGTTGATAATTGGCTACCGAAAAGAGTTTTAAGCCCTTCGTCAGACCGAAGTCATGGGAAGCCAATGAACCCAAAGAAATAAGAAAGGATCTCCTTAGACGATCTTATGAATGCAATAGAGATATCATTCCTTACCTCAAGTGAGCTCGATTCACGTCAGCTGAAATTTGTCTTTGAAATTTGAGTGGGTTGTACTAAATATAAGTGATAGCCAAGCTGTGAGTACTTCATCACGCGAAGTATGCGATGCTTTTTCTTTAATTCTCCCCCAACGTTAACTTCCTTTGTGTCTCTCAATTTGTTTCTCATGCAATATTTAATATATATTAGATAGCCCCAAGAACCTTTTTCTTAGGTTAATTTATTTTCATATCTTTTATGTTTAATTAATGAAGTGTGGTACTAAACTTTACACAAGTACGGGATATCTTAATCGTTCTCGTATGTTTTTTAGCCTAAACGCGGCAATGAAACTTAAAAAGGTTGATAAACTTTACAAACAGCTTTTCGTTTTGTTTTTCTTACAAATTGCTGGACCTAAGCTGGCTTAGAGGTGTGTTCGGTGTCGCACTTTGTAATAATAGCATAACAGCTGTAAATTCACTTATGTTCAGCATAAATTGCTGAGCTCGCATGTTTACGAAACCATCGTTTGAGAAATCTTTTGTTTGCACATTTATATCAATCATTTGTTAGAACAAAACACAAGTTGTACTTTTCTAACGGTTTTTAACAATACAAAAATTGTTTTTCAGTTTGCCACCTACTTTGCGCCGCCGCCATGATCGTAAATATGCAACTTTTAATCGCAGCTCCGTGCATCTGACTAATTTCGACCCAATGATATTTTTATCCAGGATAGGTTAGATATTGTAAAGGGAGGTGGACATTTTAAAATATGTTGTGGTTTCAGCGAGCTTCTAGAACAGCCTGGCGACATCTTATTCACATTTTCGAAAATTACACCCAACAATGCACAAAAAGCGGCCGAAATAATATACCAAATCTACCTCGCCAACTATAATTTTTGACGCGTGAATTGACTACTTCAATAATTAACCAAGCGATAAAAAATAACCGGCGACTTATTATCAGTTTTGTTTATTACACAATTTATGATGAAGAAAAAAAATCATTAAAATTCAGGATAGCTTTAAAATATTTTGTTAATTCAATAAAGACGCGCTGTCAATATATATTTTTATGTTCATTTATTTAACTGTTCTCATCAATGTTACTTAAATTGCGCGCATTCATTTTTAATGTAATTGGCTAATCTTTCTCTACATAGTATTTTCGTTTGGTGGTTATTTTGTCGTTGAAAATTTTTCGAACGAACCGGAGGAACTTCCTTGCCAGAAATTGATTTCATTAATTTTTAACCCACCGTTCACCTTGGGATTTTCAATTTTCTTCGAGTTCGATGTAAGTTTTTGTTGGTGACTGGAGACTGAGAATAATCATTTAGAGAAAAAAAAAATCAATTAGAGAAAAGAAAGCATACGATAATAACAGAAAACATTTCATTTGCCTGGGGCGTAGAGACTATGTGAAATATTTAGGTGTACTTATTGACAGTAACCTTACCTGCAAACATCATATCAGTCATATTGCATCAAGAATAAGTAAAGGCATTGGTATAATTTGTAGAGTAAAGCATCTTGTACCATATTCGACATTACTAAATATATATAGATTACTCATTTATCCTTATTTATCATATGGCCTTCTCATATGATAAATATGGATAAAATATTGATACTCCAGAAAAAAGTTGTGCGATTAATGAACTCTGCCATCTATAATTCACACGCCATTCCTTATTTTATATCGGCTAATATTATGCCAGTTAATATGCTTTACGTTAAACTCTTTTCTCTCTTAATGCATGATGTCCATAACAATTAACGCCCCCTAATCTTTCTGGTATGTTCACTCTTTCCCACCAAATACACAATCATAATACCCGATCTTCATCTGCCGGTAACTATTACATAAACTGTTCTAGGCTGAATTAACATAAAAACTCATTCTCAAGGATTGGTTGTAAAATGTGGAATAGCATCCCAGGAAACTTAAGGAATCTTCCAAAACACATTTTCAAGAAAAAGATAACAACAATATTATTTCAAAATCTTCAAGTTCAGGATAGTTGTGTTGACGTAGAACGAATAATCAATGATGTGTAGAAGTTAAATCCAGTTAATAGTAGTGTATAACTTATGTATTCTGCTATTTATTGTCATGTGTTTCTGTTTCTGTATTTCTATCTCATACTGTCATTTGTGCTTTACTGATTTAATATTTAATTTCTCTTTCTTATATATTTATGGCTTTCTCTCTCTGCCCAAAACAAATCTACAAATGCTGCTCTTGCCTGAGCTCTGTTTACTGGGCACCAAAAAATAACAAACTTAAGTTGGAGCAATATGACTATGGACAATAGGTCCATAGCCGCTTTTATTGAAACAAACAGAACAAGAATAAATTCCGTTAAAGTGTTTGCCCAGTAAAGGTGCGGGCCAAGAAAAACGCCAAAAGCAATTACACCGAAGGTACATGGCTGCCCCACCCCAGGCAAGAGCAGAAACGAGGAAACAATTCATCCTTCGCTAGACAACGAGCTATTGACGCTAATCAAATTCTCTACTCTTAATATGGTATACCAGCCGCCCATGCAAGCATGGTACATTAAAATTAAGTAGTTATGCCACCAAGACTCAAATCCTTCAATGCATAACACGAAATTGACAGCTAATCCTGAAAAGCCGCCTATGCAAGCTGAATCAGGAGTCGAACTTTTGAGGAAAAGAATGAATAAAACTAACTCTTGACAAAGTCGCCCATGCAAGCTGAGTCGTTCTTCAAACAATTAGTTATGAGTACTAAACGAATGTAAAGAAAATGACCCATAGGAATAAAACAAAAGATGATCTAAGAGGTTGCATGCTAGGCAAGTCCTTGGAAAAAGGACAACTAAGAGTAACAACAAAGTGATGTAGCCAACCATGCTAGTAAGAAAGATGAGCCCAATCACTGGTTTAGTGACTTAAAGTGGGGATCCTTATATGGCGCAGAAAGGCATTGGACTTCCAGCGCTCCAAAGTTCTGATCTGGGCATCAGACAACCCCCGATCCGCTGCAAAGGAAGCCGCACCAATTCGGAAACTATGACCCTTATAACGGAAGGGATCTTAGCCACACAAGTGACAGGCCCTAAGAAGTTGACCGGAGAAGACTGATCTTGAAACAGGCAACCAACCTTCAGAAACAAAAAGTGGCCCTGGTCGTGAGCCTCGCAGGGTCAAATATCTGGAGAGCAATACAACCGGACAGGTGGAATTGGACTGCCGAGAAAGCGCCAGGGAAAAGGGGGGTGAATTGTGGCTATGCTTAAAATCCCCAAAGGTAAGTTTAAAAGCCTGTAATTCCCCAGAAGGGGAATTCAGTTTTGTGATCTGGTATAGCTGAAAGGGAGGGTTAGCGTTACTATTAACTTGGGTGGTCATTTCCCCTATCCGCAAAAATGCATAGAAGGCCAAAGAGCACATAGCCTGAAACTGACTAATTTGGTAAGTTGAACCCTCTAAAAATGGGACGATTGCTACTAACCGGTCCAAAATAGGAAGGGTAATAGGGAGACGGCTATCCAAGCGAAAACGCACCTTGTTATAGCCCTTGAGGATTTGGGAAACATAAAAAACTTTTGAAGGGTCAGGGGAACCTAACAGCTTATGAGAATAACTCAAGGCAGAAATGTATGTTCTCACAGTATATGGGGATAATGAAAGTTAAACATATAAGCTATGAACAGAGGCATTATTGAAGGAGATATGGGGAGGGAAGTGAATGGTACATGAAAAACCGACTTGTGAAATTTATAGAAAAGTGCCCAGACACGTCGATAAGTGGGAATGGAAGAGAGGTGCAGGCTTGAATGCAGCAGATAGGAGGTCACTGATGCCAACTGCGAGGTAGGAGGTGATAAGGAATCTCTGTGGGATGAACATTCATGCAGGCTGGCGCTAGTTGTTTGAAGGTCTGCAATTTTAACCGAGAAAGAGCATCAGAAAGAACATTGTGCACACCCGGAATATGCTTTGCTTTAAAGCAAATATTCTTTTCCAAGCACACAAGCACCAGCCTCCGCACGAAGAACATCAAGTTCATATCCCGGGATGTCTGCTTATTGATAACATGAACCAAGGCCTCATTATCAGTAAAGAAGAAGATCTTTTGATTTTGCATGTCATGGCCCCATAGATGCAGATTCAAAATAATTGGGTAAAGCTCTAAAAGCGCAATGTTGAAATTATGCCAGCTAGGTGGCCATTGGCCATAACACCAATGTTTACCAAAAACCGCACCATAACCCAGGGCACCAGAGGAATCTGTGTACAGTTCTAGCTGGTGAGAATTGGTCCACTGATCAGCCAGAAAAAAGGAGCGCCCGTTAAAAACTGAGAGAAACGATTGCCAAACCAAGAGATCTTCCTTAACCTATTTAGAAAGCCGAGTCAGAAAATGAGGTTTCTGTACCCCAATAGTCAAATAAATTAACCTGCGTAAGAAAGCTCGACCTGGGACAACAACTGTACAGGCGAAATTGAGCAAACTGGTCAATGAGTGAATCTCCTTAAGAGTTACCTTACGGGCACCAAGAAAAGCTGATAGAAGATCCCGACATTTGTCCAGCTTCTCCGGTGGTAAACGGGCCTCCATGAGAACTGTATCCAGCTCAATGCCCGCAAAAGCAAGTGTTATCGATGGGCCCACAGTTTTCTCTGGTGCCACGGGGATACCCAAAAAACTACATAACATCAAAAAAGTATCCAACTGATGTTGGCACGATTCATTCGAAGGAGAAATAATCAAAAAATCATTTAGCAAATGCAGAAGATAAGGAATATGGAACTTGTTTCGGGCAATCCATTCAAAAGCAGTTGCAAACACCTCAAAATTCTTACAGGAACTCGAACAAACCATAGGCATGCACCTATCATAATAGTATTGGCCGTCCCAGCATATTCCTAAAAGGTCGTAATCTTCAGGGCGAATAGGGACTAACCGAAAAGCACTCTTAACGTCGGTTTTAGCTAAAAAACAATTGGGACCCACAGACTTAACCAAGTCAATGGCATTCTTTACTGTGGCATACGAAACAGTTGTGTAAACGGAAGAAATGCCATCATTTAAGGAGGAGCCTTTGGGATAACAA